TTTTTTTTTTATTCTTTTTTATTCTTTTTTTTTATTCTTTTCTCTTTTTCTTCCTCCATATTAATAATTGAATAGAGTTCTAGCAGGTATAGAACTACAAACAATTATTGTATCACACATATTATTCAGCAGGTAGTCCTCAAATTTTTATTAACGTGCGTAAATATTAGTATTTTACTTCAGTTTGAGATTAGTTTTCTCAAAATTATTATTTGTTTAATTAATTATTAGATTTAATAAAGCACGAAAAGATTTAACTTTAAATCATCAGGATTAGATTGTGTTGGAAGTGGTGTTTAGGGTTAGGAAATTTGTCAGTTATGTCCGTCACACTCCATTTTTACCGTACCGCTTTAAACATCACAGTGATGATTACTCTAGTTTAAATCACTACATTTTAATTATAAACGTTTTTGATTTTTTTTTTTATTTATTTAATAACTTAATATTATTTGAAAAGTAATATAACTTAATTCTTTTAACACAAAGTACTATATTTTAATCTTAATCAGATCTGTTTGCAGCAAACAGATGGCTGTTATAAGGAAGGCACATAATAGAAACTTCCTCCAGAATCAATAGAACTTATATTACAAGTCTAACAAAAAAAGCTTGAAGTAACATTATAATACATTTCTAACTACCGTGTTCGGAGACGTACTCTACCGATACTCTTTAGAGTAATTTTTGGCAACACGCTTCATATCTCCGGAACCTCACATTTATAAAATTAGTCAAAAATTTATAACTAAAAATAATATAATATATAAAATTTTATACTCAATATTACTTACACAAAATAATTAATAATAATAAAGTGACTTTGTTAGTAAGATCGTTAAAATACTGTATATAGCGTATATTTATTTATATCATATTTGTTAATTTCCCAAGTTATAAAATCTTAATATTTGTTTTAGGTTCATTCATTTCATGAAACAAATAGTTCAAAATTTTCTTCAAAATTTAGCGCGTCTCAATTACTATCACAGTAATCGGTATGCTTCCATAATTTATAATATACTAGCTAGTATGAAATCTTATTAATAAAAATACATGTTTTTATCCGATATTTTTTTTCGTGTGAACATAATTTATGATTGTTATAATTTGAAGGTTAACTGAATTTATGATAATTCCCTTAATATACTGTATTTAAATACACAGTGAAATTCGATAAACCGGATATTCGATAAACCGGATTTGGGCCTAAACCGGACTTTTTTGCTGGAACCAAATCACGTATATTAAAATAGGCTCGATATACCGGAGTTTACTAGTAAAAGCTCGATATTCGCTATAACGGATCAATTTTCTAACCAGCTATAGTAAAAATGATTCGATAAACCGGATCACGTGACTGGAAACCAATAAAATTTAAGTAACGTGATTCGGTAAATCTTAATTTTGGCCGGAATTATAAAAATCTTAATTCCGGCTGAAGTTAAGTATTACTTATATATTCAATGAAAATATTTTATATTCATTTTCATGACCTCTATAACTTAAAACTAGATGAAAAAATCAAATTATGGTGTATATTAGTTTTATTAGCATGAAAATTTTTTAAAAATTTAATATAATAGATTTTCAATATATCGAAATTTTTTCGCTAAACCGGATATCCCGATAAACCGGATATTTTTAGTGGAACCGATAGATCCGGTTTATCGAATTTCACTGTGTATATGAATGCTTTACATTTAAATTTTACTTACACTCATTTTTTTAGTTTCTCTGAAAAATTAAAATTTGAAGGGATGGATGGTAACGGACTAACGGTCAGTTACGGTACATTTCGCCGAAGCAACTTTGCCGAATTCATTTCACCAAATCATCCATTTCGCAGGAATTCCACTTTACCGAATTCCATTTCGCAAAATGGACATTTCGCCGAAAATGGTAGCGATTAAAAAGTATTCATCGCGCAATGAAAATAAAAATTAAATTATTTTTAGAGATTTTTTTTTTCCAGGGTATTATCACTTTAACATTCAAGTAACTGATATTGATTGTTAAGCAATAAATAATTAACTTTATTTTCCTGAAAACATTTATTCACGAAAAAGTATCGAGATAAACTTAATAGAAAATTGCTAAAGCTCACCAGCGGTGATTGTACCAGCATTATGATGCACTTTTGGCCTGAATTAAAATCTAATAAAACACTGACCGGTATTACATCATAAATCCACCACTGGTAACCGTCACCACTGGTGATATTTAGCAATACTAAATTCAATAAAATTAGCTAATTCAAAAATTTTTCTAGAGAGGATTTCTTTATGAATTTAGTATAAAACAATAAAATAACCAAATGGAATAAATAATTTTTCAGCAAAATGTCCATTCAATAAAATGGCTTCGGCAAAATGGAATTCGGTGAAATGGTATTTCGGCGAAACGTCCTTTCGGCGAAATATCTTTTCGATCAACGGTCACATTTGATTGCGCGCATTCTTTTAGGGTCGAAATCATGATAATTTCGGCCAGTCCCTAAATATGGTAATAACTTTTCAGCTGTATATTTCAGGATGGCGTTTAACTGAACAAGCAATTATTTACAGCTGATTTCATAATGTACGGGACACCTAATAATAGTTACCGAGAGACAACTCGGTACATTCGGTAAAACTCGGTAAAGTTCAGAATAAGGTAAAACCATATCGTTAGATTCGGAGCAATGGTCCGAGCACAGTGGTGTAGTTTTTATTTTCTTCGAGTTTCTCTCGGCATGGAGTAAAAATGATGGGTGTCCCGTATATTATGAAATCAGCTGTAACAGAAGAAAACGAGAGTACTTTATTATTTATGGAATCGGCCGAAAAAGCTTTAACCGGTTAATGATTAGTTGAATGGTGCTTTTATCGTTAATTAAATGGTTAACCCTACTTGGGTAATGTTGTTAAGTCCGATTTGGACGATTTGGGTCAGCCAGTTCGACGTGAGAGTCGGTGGCTCTACCTTTTTTTTATAGGACTTAATATTTAGTATTCATCGAAAAAAACCAAACTTTTTTTTAATGAATGATTTTTTGTTGTAATTATAATGACACATATAACTAAGATTAATTTGAATATACGAACTCCATTATTGATCGGCCCAACCGTATCGATTAAATTCTCGCTGGCATTAAATAATTATCATTTAATTCTGGCCGAACACTCAACCCTGGTCAAAATTATACAAACATCAACATTTATATAGCAACTTTAAAATTTTTTTTATTTTTTACAGGCATATTACAAAGATAATGAAAATTGATCTTTAATAAGGAAACAAAAAACTAAAATTTAGCTAAAATTGAAAATAATACTTAAATGTGAAACAAAAATATATATATTTTTTTTCATTTAATATCTTTTTTTTTTTACCTTTTTTTTTTCTATATATAATTTCTTAATATTAAAATGAATAAGAAAAAGTTTTTTTTTTACTTTAATATTTTTTTAATTTTTTTTTTTTTTTTTTT